ATAATAAGGAATTAATTTATTTTTATCAAACTATATAGTATGAATATGGCTAAGTATCTTTATTCTTTTTGTATATTTTATATTTTGCTTGTTTCATTTAGGGTTTATTATGTTAATAATATTTTATCTTTATAATCTGGGATTTTATAAACTTCAGACACTGTATTATTTAGAATTATGTCTTAGCATTTGTACTAGAATTTAATATTCATAACATCTTGAGCTCTTAGTAAACTGGAAAATAAGGTAATTATTACGTGAATGATTTTACTATAATATTATAATTTAATTATATGATTTATGTTTATATCTCAATTATTCAATGATCTCATTAAGAATTTTTTTTCATTTATTACTATTATATTATTAGCTATTTGTTAAAATGAATTTATTTCTTGATTTATTTCTCGTAGCTAGGAGTATTACCATATCACATTCCAAGTGCTATTTGGTAAGAAAGGATACGAAAAGTTTACTGGTTTATATTGCTACATTCTTAAAAGATGTTAATTAGTATGCTAAATTGCAATTGTATATTTGAGAGTTTTTTTTTTTTAATTAATAGCAGGAATGGGGAGAAATTTGAACCTATGAATTACTTTTTACTTAGGGCTTCTTTTTGAACTTGAAGACACAACTTAAACAAAAAAATAAAGTAATTTTGCAGTCATACTCGATCTTTATAAAACTAGCTACAAGAGCAGAATGCCTAGATAGTTATTATTATTGCTGTTATTTTATGTTATGTTTTCAAATGACTATACAGTTCTTAATTATGATTTATTTCTAAAGGTGATATTAAAGTCAGAAAGGATGAATATAGATATTCAAATATTATCAAAAATTCACAGAGATAGACTATTCTAGTAGAAAATTCGGTCTTAATCATTGCTATAAAAATAGAATTGGAATTGGTAAAAGTAAATATGAGATGTAAGGTGAGTAATGCTATTAGAATATTTATATTAGCTATATATTAAAATGTAAAATTTAAAATTTAAATAACTTACTTGTCAATTCATTTACAGAATTTGTCTTTATTCTTAGCCACGCAAATTCAGTACCTGTAAAAAATAGCAGTTTTGAAGTATATCCATAGAACTATCTACGCTAAGAAACTAAGGTATTTATTTATTTAAATTGGCTAAAATATACTAGTGGAGCATTTAATGTTAATTATTGCTATTATAATGGAATTGGTGTTTCGAAGGATTAGATAATATGTACTATTATGGTTTTCTTTTTTTTTAACAAATTTATTTATTTTTTATTTTATTTTTATTTATTTATTTATATTTTTATTTAATGAGTGCTTTGACTTAGGATGAACTATATTAATAACACTAATAAATACCACTATTCGTTGGTTGTAACATTTTAAAAGTAAAGTTGAGTTTTATTTTATTTGAAGCAGTAACTATTTAAATTAAATTAAATAATTCATATATATTACAGCATTAGTAATATTTTTATTTATGAATTCATAAATTTGTTATCTATATCGATATTAATTTAACTGGTAACTATTTGTGTTTATTGTATCTGAAAAGTGTATCATAAAGTTCAAACTGATATATCTGAGTAAGTTTTTTAAAAAAAATTTATAAAAGTTTTATATACTGTTATATATAAAATTTTTTTGAAAATAATATTAAAAGCCAGTTTACCAGGTTACTTTTAAAAATTTTATGTTTTTGGCCTTAATTATTGTAAGAAAATAATTTTTTTAAAAAAAAGAAAAAATTTGTTTTAGGCGATTAAAAGAAAAGTCTAGAATAATCTAATCAACAATTTAATGCTATATAAGGAGCGATCTGCATAATCTTAATTTAGTATATTTCTAGACTGAAATATAGATTAATATTATTAAATGTAACTAAATATTATCAAATGTAACTAAATATTATCAAATATAACTAAATATAGTAAAATGTAGTTAAATATAATTAAACATAGTTAAATATAAATAGAGATTTCTATAATTAATATTAGTTTAATATAATTTACTAAAAAATACTTTCTGATGATCCCTTATACCAATATTTTCACAAAATGCTGACTTATAAATATTATATAGTTAGTTTATTTTTATACAACAAAACTTTGCTGAATAGCAACTAGATTTAAGGGTTTCAAATTGCATATAAGTAATATGAAACAGAGTTGAAAAAGACTACTTCTTGCAGGTTTGGTTCTCTAATAGAAGTCTATAGAGCTATCAAAAAAGTAGCTTTGGCAACAACTAAGAAAGTATTTGTCAAGTCATATTTAAGCAATAGCAAGAGTATAGACTTAGTAGAATATACTATTTTATATAATGTATACTTTTACAAATCTTTTCTATTAGTACTTCTCTTATATAGTTTTTCTCTTTATTATTTGGTTTTTGGTGTTTATTTTTTTTTCACAAAAAGTAGTGATGCAGCTCACATATTCAAATAATCAGTAATGTTTATTCTATCTAAATTAGGAATACACCTACCAAATTGAAAAATATATTACATGAGCTTTCTGTACAAATCAATAATGATAAATTAGTGATATAAACAAATATGTGTACAGGTTTCATAGTATTTGTTTTAATGTCTTGTCCTTTATATTACTAGTAGAGTTCATTATACTACTAGTTTTTATTATAGTACATAATAGATGTAGAGTAAAGCTTTATTTATTTAGAGTACTATATAATTTTTTCTAATGCAACATATTTTTTGTTACAACTCTTTTTTCTTTCTTTTTGTTTATATATATTGAGACTGCGATAGTCTTTTTTTCTTTACTTTTTTTATCTGTTTCTGTTCTCTTTTACTTTTGTTTCATATAGATTTAGTAGTTATACTCTTCTCTTTTTTGTTCTTTCCCTTTTTTTTCATCCTCTATATTGTCTCTTTCATACAACTATTTTTTCTTTATTCTGCTAGAATATAGGTGAGAAAAGTTTTTAAGAAAAGACTAGGTAGTCTTGATATGAGCTAGTAGTAGCCTCCCTGAGATTAAATACATATAGACTATCATACAGTTGAGTGCTCTTTTGAAAAAAATAGTTACTATAGCAGATCGTATTTGGACATCTTTAAGTCAGCTGAGTGAGTTCAGAATTGCAACAAAGAGAACAGTCTTAAAAATTAAAATAGTTTTATTTTATTTTTTTTTATACTATTTCAAGTATTTTCCTAATAAAATGAAGAGCAAGATTACCTAAATTTAAAAAAAATAAAATAAAAAATAAATAGAGATTTCTAAATACTAATTACTCAATAACTATTAATCTAATTTCTACAAATTATAGCTTGTTATGATTAAAAAAAAAAAGTAAATTTATAGGTTTCTAAACAAAAGCTAATAAAAACAAAATCAAAAAATTAGAAGTAAATATATTAATTAGTAAAAAATGAGAAAAACATATAAACAAAGTTACAAGATTTACAAATTAGTAGTTATTAATATTTATATCCTACTAAATAATAAAGAAAAAAAGAAAAAAATTCAACAAAAAGTAATTCAAAAAATAAGAAATTATGAAAAAGATAGAATACAAGTCATAGTTAAGAATAACTTTAATGATATTAGATCTAAAAAATTAGATTATAGAAAAAAGAATCTAACAAAAAACAAGTATCCTTTTTACTAGGATAACTAAAAAACTCAAAACTGAATAATATCTTTAGAAAGATATATCATATAAAAAAGATTACATATGATCAAATTGAGTATCTTATATAAGAATAAATTATATAAATATTAAATATACTAAATCAATATAATATTAACTATAAAATAGTTGAAGCAAAATATATTACAGAAAATGATTATAACATAATTATAGCAAATTTAGATACAGATATTATGCTAAAGATAAGAAAATTAGCAAAAAAAAAATAGCTAAAAGGTAAAAAGAAAATACTAAGATTTGATGATGCTAAGAAAGAAGAATAGAAAAAGTACAAAGCAAAGCTAGATAAAGAAATAATAAAAACACTAGAAATAAGAGATACTGTAATACTAAACTAATTAAAGAAAAATGTAGAAACAAAGATATTGATGAAATATAAGATATCATATTAAACAATATAATGATGTATATATAACTTTACCTAGCAAAAAGCTAGCTGCAAAAAAAATATCACCAAAAGAAATTAATAAAAGCACTAGTATTCAGAAAGATTTAAAGAAATTAAGATTTGCCATAAATACATAGAAAAATCAAAGCAAGTTATTAGCGAAGAAGATCGATAGCAATTCAATATAGAAATCGAGCAGATCAATAGTAAATATGAGCTACAAATAGACGAAATAACTGAAACACACTAGACAAGAGAAAGAAGAGAGGATCTAAGCGAATTTTTGCGATATGAGTATTTTTTTTTTAAAAAAAATGATTTACACGTTACACCTGATTCTACCTAATTTCATACTGGTGATAATCACCAGTGGCGATAAACAGATAAATAGCAAACTCCTAATATTATATATATTATATAATAAAGTATAGTTAAATATTCTATTTGACCAATTTGACTAGTAAAGATCCTTTGATCAGATTGGTCAAATTGGTCTGGTCCAATGGTCAAACTGGTCTGGTCAGCCAACACTGGTAAATATGTTTGCATTCCCATCCAATAATCATGAAGGTTTCACGCACATACATATCCTTGGGAAAATTTTTACGATTATGACATTCTGCTGTTATTAAGGCTAATTTCTGTGATAATTCTGCGGTGTTCTGTGAAACACTGCAAATCATCGTCCCTGCATGTGACAACTTCAAATGATAATGACATTAAAAATAAACTTTTCTCGCTTTTATCAAATTTAATATTTAATATTGATAATATATTTATTCTTTTAATATATCAAAATGAATCAAAGCATGCATATAAACAATAATCTATAAAATATTATACATAAGTAATAATTAAATAAATATAATTTAATTTAAAAAACTCTAATAGCATCAATCATTATTCGATCCAATTCCTAAAAATGAAGTAAAAAAAAAATTAACAAATAATTGCAGAAATAAATAAAAGGTATAAATTATCAAAGCTTACCGATTCTAATATATCAAGCTCATCATTTACACATTCAAATACTGATTTAATTTCATCTCTAATATCTGCAGGATTAATCCGTTCAAGAATTTTTTCAGGATCATCATGTAAATGCCATCCGCTCCTCCTCCTTTCCTTCATTTCCAACATGTTTACTCCTGATCTAACAAGTATTAAAAGTTCTTGCAATCCATAATCATCCGATAAAATCCAATCATTTTCTAAATAAGAAGTTGTAATATTTTGTCTTTCATTTGTATTTTGAGATAATAAGTTGTTATCGGTAGTAAAAGATAAACCATCAGTAAAATCGCTAGTGCTCTCAATAGAGTTATCAGGTTTATATTGTAAAGTTTGTGATACTTCATTATCTCGTCGATTACGAATTGCGGAAGTAATACTTGGAACATCATCGCCTTCATATTGATCAGCTTTAACCGTTTGTGATACCTCATTATCTCGTCGATTACGAATTGCGGAAGTAATACTTGGAACATCACCGCCTTCATATTGACCAGCTTTAACCTTTTTCAATACTTGATCAATTTTATTTCCCACTAATTCTCCACTATTTTGATTAGTCATTAGTTTCTCTAAAATATCAACTTCTTGTGTTGTACTTCTACGTCTTTGTTGTTTAACATCAACCGTTAATGAATCTACATTTCCATCGGATTGATCTAATGGTGATAGATTATCCATTTGGTCGTTCAATAATTCATCATCACCCCACATATCTTCAATGAGCTTGCTAATATCAACCGTATCTCCACCTGCTGAAATAAAGGAATACCGTACTCTGTTTCCAAAGACACGTGAACTTCGAATAGCACCCATATCAGTAACAATATCGACACCTTGTTCTTGATTTTTTTTTGACGAAATAATGGAATTTTGTTTTTCTTTACTATATTGACGTTGTCGTTCAATAAGCAGTTTTTTTGACAATTCTTCTTCTTCTTCTATATCCCTGGATTCCTGATTATTAACTTTTATTTCTATTGCTTGAGTATATCGCTTTACTTCATCGGCTGATGGCATTGCACGTTGCTGTCGATCTTCTGGTTTTAAAAGCCTAAGAACAAATATAGACTCATCAGGGCGATAATCCAACCCAGTAGATGATGCAGAATCTATAGAATCCATTGAAAAATGACGAATATCCGGTGGTTTTGGATATACAGAAACTATATCAGCATTCGGGTTAACCAATTTTTCTATAAATAAAATAAGTATTAGAATGAGGAGGCAGTTATTATACATGTATTAAAAGCAAGGATATTTTCGGGATTTCTTACCTTCACCGTCAACTATAACCATAAGTCTATATAGTAACTTATCATTATTCTTATTGTCATGTATTCTTCCACCATCATCAACAATGCCCTCAGTGATGCCAATTTTATCCATCGCTTTTTCTATAATCTGTCTAACTGTTGCATTTACAGGCACGATTAAGATTTTTTCTTTAGGTTTTGCTTCTTCTCTCGAACGTCTTCTTGCAGCCTTTTCAGCAAGATGTTTAGGTACAGACATAGATACTCTGGATTCATTTGGTTTTGTTGGTCGAAGATGAGCCGGTAAATCATCGGCATAAACAAGAATACGAACACGCAGTTTCTTTTCACCAAGTTTTGTTTTTCTGTTTAAACAAAAACAAACAGTATTTAAGC